GACCGTGCTAAAGGCACGTGCGACGAAAACCAAGACTGGCAGATGTCTTCGTCGACAGTGACCAGGAAGCTGTCCGAAACGTTCCCCAGCAACTGAATGTCCGGATAGGTACGACAATGTCACCTAGCGACTAGAACGACGTTGAAAAGGCACCGAAATCGACTAACCTCGACCATTGTGGATATAACAAACACGGTAATTAGAACAACTTGAAAAAGAGCCGGGAACGATCACGTCGCGAAATCCACGGACGAACGACAGACACGAAGTAGATAAATAACGAATAAAAAACCATGGCCGGATGACTCGTAAGTTAGGTTACATGGTTAGGTGGTATGGTTAAGTGTGGTTATACTCGTACTAACCGCACGTTCGCAACACACAGAGTAAGTCTCCCGGGCACCGATGACAGTCCGGTTGACAAGGAAATGGTCGTACCCAGTTGGGGGAGGCCGGGGGAAATCGAATGTTCCAAAACATCGATAACCCCGAAATAGCCTTTGGATTGCCAACATACCGATTTGATTGGTCCGGTGCGGTAGATAAGCGCGTATATAATATACCTACCTAGTTACAAAATAAAGTCAGTACAACTTTTTTATTTTTCTAATGTTTTAATAACCTAGTCATGGGCTTCCCCAGGGGGGGAAAGACGGGGCACTTGCCCCCCCCTGGAATAATGTTATTTCCATTTCATTCAAATAAAGAAAAATTTATTGAAAATGCACTGACACAATTTGGTAGAGAATGTCCACGGAGATTGAAATTTATATATAATGAAAAAGAATGATGTATAATATTTTTTAATGTTTTAATTGTAATAATACCTACCTAATTGTAATGTTTTAATTCATAATTTTTATAATGACGAAATATAATAATTTACTATAAATAAAATGTATAAACAAATTTTCATTTATTTTTTAAATTAATTTTGCCCCCCCCCCCTAGAAAAATGTCTGGGGACGCCCATGAACCTAGTCAACTTTAACTTCAACATCGACTTCACAATGAACATTTAGAAATACTAAATCATTAACCCTTAAATGGCCAACAGAATTTCAAAGATCAGATTTAATTATTTCTGATTTACACAATGTAACAAGTAGTGTTATGCAAAAATATGATTTCTAAAAGACCACGTACACTTAATTATTGCTAATGTGTACGCCAAAGCTTTACTTTTACTTAAAAAACGTTTTGATAAATATCATCAAAATAAAATTTATTGAAATCTTTGATTACTTGGTTATCATAAGTTTCATTAGAAAACAAAAACCCGGTTATATTTTTATGGTTCAAAAATGGTTCTGTTAAACTGTTAAACTAATTTGTCCACAAATTGAATAAATATAATAATTTAAAAATGTTTAGAGTTACTTGTAGAATAATTTGATCTATATTTTGTCGTTTAACTATTTATGTTTGTTGATAATGATGATATTTTACCGGGAAAATTTCAATTTATTTTTAGTCATTAATTCATAATTTGAAAATATACTTTAAACTATTTATGATGGGGGGGGGGTGTTATATTTACTTGACACTCCCCTTGCGTACGCCACTGCCAATGTACCTACTGTGTTTATGTAAATACTGGTTATTGGAAACGATTAATATAATATTTTTAATATTATTGCTAACAATAGTTGTGGCGTACTGTTTTATTTAAACTATTTTGCACGGAGTCCCACAACTTGTCGCACCGACGCTGTATAGATTACCAACAATGCTCACATAATACAACATGTCCAATGAACATGGACATTGTCCATGTATATTTTACATCTCATACATGAATTTTATAACCAATAATTTTTTGACATTACATGGATATCTATTATATATTAATAGATAGGTAACTGGTGAATTAGCCACGATGGATATTTATGAATATCCATTATACATTGATATTTTGTAACTAATGGCCTACGTATTATAAATGTTAATATACGTCTATTAAAAATTTAGGATAAAGTTCAAAAACACACTCAGCAAAAAGTTTTTATATAATTTAAACAAAATAATTAGTTATCTACGTACATTTTTATTTTTAATTATGGGTACTATTGCAACAGATCATCACAATAATACCACCCTGCTATTTCACTTCATAAAATCATAATCACTTAAATATTTAAATTGTATAGGTTCCGCTACACTAACTTCTTTTATTGAGAACAATTTGGTTATATACTGTAATATTAAGCAATATCAATTAGAATAAATCTAAGTCACAGGAATCATAAAACACATTACAAAAAAACTGATATTCATTTAGCAATAGGAAATATATTAATATTATATTTTAGAATATAAGAAAACAATAGTATATTAATCATATTAGTATCAATTAGTATGTAAGCAATAAATATTTTTAAATAGATAATTAGCAAATTGATAAAAGATAAAAGACACATAAATAAATTGATCTTGATTACATACTTCAGAATCCAATGTTATCTTCTAATAGTCATTTTTTTTTATGTCATAATTTATGAAATATAATTAAAACACATATCGAAGATTTTGTTTTAGATAAAAATTCCATTCTTTAATAATATATTAATTAAAATGTTTAGAACAATTATTACATAATAACCCAATTATGTTGTATTTATTTAAACTTTAATTAATGACTTTATTTTCTTGAAATTTGCTAAGTTACACAAGATCTACATATTAATTCAATATGAAAATATATAAAAATAAATGTTTAAAAATTAGTTCTTAATTTAATTATTTATTATAATAATCAAAGGGCATAAACCCTTTAAAAAAAGATTACAATGTAATATATAATAATTGTTGGCACATGAAAACTATTAGATAAGTGATAATATAAAATATAAAAAGTACAGAAAAACTAGTAACTAAAAAAAATAATTATATGTTTGTATAAAGTTTAAAATGTATCATCTATAATTTACTAAATCGTCTACTTGTAATAACATATCCAAACATAAGAAACCAAATAGGTGATATCTAAAAGAGAAAACAATTGTAAATCATATCAATAATATATAAATATTAAGTACATGTAAAATAAGTAAAAAATGATGTAAGAAAGTTCCAATGCACTGAAAAATAAATTATTTTGTAACACTGTATCAAACTTTTGTAAATATATCTAATAAATTTGATTACCTCTAATAGAAGTTTGAAGGTTTTATGGTATACAAAATTATAAAATAGTATATTTAAGTATTTTCGGGTACATAAAACGTAACTTAATAGTTATACTTTAATTCATAATTAATTATATTAAATATAATAAACAAATATATTAAGAATTTAACTTCCAACAAATTTAATTAAAAAAATAAATAAAAAATAGTGAAATGCCATATATAATTCTACTTAGACTAATATTGTTTTTCAAGTAAATTTTTCAATAATAATATAATATGTAGTTACTAATCACATGGCTCATTAAATCAAATTTTTCAACTACATTATGATAATATACTCGTATATGTATCATGATAAATAATAAAAGTAACCAAAAAATCATAATTATAATTTTAATTGATTAATCGGAGGAACATAATAAATTAATGCATTTGAAATGTCATAAATCTATTTTAATGTATTTATTAAGGAACATATAAAATAATTAAATTAAAAAATTAAAAAGTATTATTAATTAATTAAAATATAAGCTTTTCAGAATATTTAGATAATTTAAAGTTTTTATTAGATTAATATCTGAATTTAATATGAAAATATAATAATTTTGTAAGTGTAAAATACTAAATTAAAAGTTTAATAAATATTAACTTCAAGGGGATATTTTAGACAATTATTGTGCCTATTATAAATAAAAGAAAGATATTTATATAACTATTTTTTACACAATCTATTTAATATCTTGTTCAATATTATTTTAAATCAAAAATAGTCTAAGTTTATCTTTTTTAATTTAGTTCAATTCAAAATTTCTTAATAATTTTTTTTATACATACATAATTTTTTAAACTACTATTTCGGCATTGTAAACATGGTTAATACTAACAATTTATTATCCTATACAACTACACAAATCTTAATATTCTCATAGCAGGAAGCTAAAAAGTGCACTCAACAAGTAACATAAAAAAGGCAAAAAAAATATATTTCATCTCCAATAACTAATTATTGCATACATTAAAGTTTTAATTTAATTTTATAAGCGATATATAGATCTGGGTCTTATAAAAATTATTTAATAGAAACAGATTAAAAAAAAAAAAAATTATAATTGATTAACTAGTTAATAATATGTTTATGAGTGTTGCAAACCAGGTGTTACACTTATAGAATTAATGTACTCATACAATATTGATAGTAATGACGTTATAAAAATGTTTGACAGCAAATATCTAGCTTGTAATATTATGAAAATATTTTTGTTGTTTCAAAAGAGTAGCTCATCAGGTTATTATTAATAATGCATTTGTTTTTGCATTTTACATTTCAACAAAATATTTAAGTTCAAGTATATTTCTTTGTACAAGCGTGACACTTTTTTGTGAAATATAATAATTAGTAAAAGTCTTGTATAATGAGCTTATTATACAATAATTGAGATCAATAGTTCATAGTGTAATTCATATTATGTATAATGATTGTAATGATTGAATATAATAATCAAAGAACACCATAATATTTATTTTATTTTATAATTGATTAGAAACTAAATTTTGACAACCTGTGTGTCAGTGTGACAAGCATTTTCTACTTAAATTAATTTTTTAGAAAATAAATATAGGAATAAACTGAATTTTGAAAGTGATTTAAGATTAGATTTGATAAATTTAACAAAGATTAAGATAAAAATAAAGATATAATAATTAATACTGTAGTTTATATTGTGAATAATGATTGTAATGATTGAATAATAGTTACAGAACATCTTAATATTTATTTTAATGTCTAAACCTTTAATTTAAGCTTAAATGAGAACTGAATATTATTTTAATAAATAAAACATATCAAAAAGTAAACACAAGTTTCATTTAACATGCTTAAACTAAATATCTAACCTAAGAATCGTTAATTATAAGTAAAAATTATGTATGCTTTAAGTAACAATATTTTGGATCTTCTTAATTGACGGCTTACAAAAATTTTATATTTATCCTATTACAGCTTTGGGTATTCCTGAAAAGTTAAAAGAAAAAAATATATATATTTTAGTTTTAGTAAATAAAACCAATATTTATTATAGTAAATATATTACAATTAATAACCATACACATTTTGTTATTCATTGTAAAAATTTAATACAATAATTAATTTATAATTATAACATTTAGATATAAGATATATTAAATTTAGTTTTTATTTGAAATCATGTTTTATCTTAATTATATATATATATATATATATATATATATATATATATATATATAAGCTAATTTAAAACATGAATTTATATGAAAAAAATAAAAAATTTTAAATATTAATATAATGTGTATTACATATATTGTAATTTGATTTATCAAAAATTAATAATCGTTAATAAAATAATAATAAATTAAATTAAAATGAAGAAAAGTAGTTAATAGTTAAAACTCGTAAGTTAATATAGAAATAAATAAAAAAATGCTTAGCCATAAGTTTTATTATATTTTTAATTATAGAATATAATATAATCCAATAGATTCAAAACTAATAACATACATTGATTTTAATAAAAACATTTCTTTTAATAAATAGTTATACTATACTATATTTAAAGGTTTAAATTTTAAGGTCTTTACCCATAAATTATTCATAATACTAAGTACCTACAGAATAGATATTAAATTAAACTTATCTATCTTATAAAACTATTATTCTTTTTCAAAATGAAATTGATTTTTTTTAGAATTTCCTTAAAATCATTTATTATTATTTTTATTTATAATAAATTATTAATCAACATTAAGTAGTGTATATTTTATTATTTATAAGAGAACTAATACTCAAAAGAATGTTATTAATTTATAATGTTTAATAAAATATGCTTTATGCCCTAATAAAAAAATATCTCAATATTTTAAAAATTTTAAGTATTTAGTATTTAATTACTAAGAAATTTATACAAGTTTGCAATAATAGATTCATTTAAATATAAATTTCATTGTAAGTTTGTTAAATTATAAGAAATAATCATAATAAAAATTAGATAATAAAATATAGGTACTTCCGATTCTTTAAAAATAAATTTAAAATAAAACAATTTTCCAGTTTCAAAATTAAACATAACTATACAAATATTAACATATTGTTCACTTTCATAAGTTAATACATTGATGATTATGCACACTAAAATAACATTTAAATTAAAAATATTAAAGATTTTAAGTTATATTAAGTTTGTAGGTTTATTACTTATAAAGAAGACTATTTAAGAAAATGTACTTAATTTTATTCGTGAGTTAAAAATATTTATGAGAAACATACATTTTCAGAATTTCTAACAAATTAGGCAATAATAAAGCTAACATTTTAAAATTATAATTTAACTTAACTTAGTAACAATACTATAATTAATTATTACACAAAAGTTTTTGCTACAAATTTAATTAAAAAAGTTATATAAAATAATAAGAATTAAAATGTACATAGTTCATATTTTTTCTTATATAAAACTTACTTCATAATTTTAAACAACACGTAAACTATTTGTATAAAACAAAAGTTAATCCAACTACCATTAGTAATTATTCAAGAGCCCATGTGTCATATTTTTTGTTAGAACTGACAAAATGTATTATTTCTTCAAATCAATTGATTGATCGAACAACAATGGATCATACCTAAAAAATATAACATATCAGTCAATAATAATTATTTTATAATAATATTATAATAAATATTAAAGTACTATTTATTTAATTTTATACATTTTTTACTATAAATTATTACACGTTTCTAATAATATCATAATAAAATATAACATATTATAATAAAAGTTCTTACTTGAAGTATTAATGTACAAATATTTACAATTGGATTATTTTCAAAAATTCATCATAAGTTATAAAAATAAAAATTAAGTGAATACAAACATTATTCTTTATGAATAATTGTTTAATTTAATTTATATATACCATGTATTCTATGCCTGATGATTTGTTACATCAAAACAGTTTTTAAATAGGTGTATGCATATATACATTAATACACTGGGCAAGAACTATTATTCTTTATACTGAAATATTGGATTTATAAGAAATAATTAATAATTTTTTACAAATATTTTATATTTCTATAAAAGAAATCATAATATAGTCATGTAAAATATAGGATCATAACGTTAAAAAAAAAGTTTAAAATAATGTATTGAAAAATTAAGCAAGAAAATACATAGTAGACAGTAGAAAAAAGTATAGTATAACATTAAAATAATAACAAATTTAAAAAATAAATTCAATTTTGTACTAATATATACATAAATCATGCTTATTCTGTATTTATTCACAATTTAGTTGAAATAATATAATACTTAAACAACATATAATACATTAAACGTTTTTACAAAGAATACAGGTATTTTTTTCAAAAATATTTAGTGAAGTTTGCTATACAATAAGTGAAAAATTAAACTAAGTAATGTTAACAATTCTCTATGTTGAAAATGAGTATATTAAGAATTCTTTATTAAAATAACATTATATTATTGTAAAAAAAACATACCCTAAGGATTTTTGTTGGCCATTAAATACATCTGATATGATTCTATGAAACTATTGTCAAACGATACGATGGCACAGTCATGATACTCATTGATGACTGTGTTATATGCTGCCGAATACTGGATCATGTAACAATTAATGTCTGTAATAAGATATATATCTAAGTGTTATGATAGGGTAAGTTCAATAGTTAACTCATAAAAATACTTTTAGAGTATTTAATAATATATTTAATACTTAGACAGAAATCAGCATAGGCAACAATAACATGAAAATGACAATCATAAGCGGGGTGTTTGTACTAATTAACTGGACATGTGTTGATCCAAAGCTCTATTTATACACTGGTGGATGGCCTCCTGTAGCTCGTTCCCTTCTGTTTAGCATCAGGCATATTACATATTGTTCGATTTTTACGTGTAACATTTTATTATTTTAATTGGTAATATGTGGCATATTACAAATGTACCGTATCACTAACGTGATCCTGAAACATTGACAAACATTCTTTATTTTTTCTCAACAGGATACCGGATTAATTTTCTTACCTCGAGACTTCTAAAATGTTACCAACAAATTTTTTGAACCAAAAGTTGCATTTCAATCGGACCACCGTACATTGTTTTTGAACGAGCAGTATACGCACGAGCATAATACTGATGATGATTGCGAAAAAAAATTAACTGAATCGAAATTGGTATTCGGACGGAAGCTGAACGACGAATATTATTTAGTAACAAAATGGTTGTAAGAAAAATGTAAACTAATGACCATGGCCGTTATCGGAACGACGTAAACAAGTGATAACACACGGTTTTGGGAACAATAATTATGGCGGCAATAGCGTTTTCTGCGCGTCGAGCCGTTACCGTACGTGGTAAAGATGGGCAAAACGGATCATTTGAACGATTCGATTCGTTTATGTCGAATTCTTGGGATACCGCACAACACAGCACAATGTTTATGCAGTGGAAACAAATTTAGTTTATTTAAAAATTTGTATCACCAACAGCAATGCACGAAAACGAAACAAATCGACAGAGTTTACAAATTTTATTTAAAATAATAATAATAAAAATGATACAACGTCTGTATGTCGAATTCGCTGGTAGCGTGTTTTTCGCACAAGGCAGGGGGTCGATTCTCGAACTCCTACGACATATTATCGAAAAAAAGTAGTATACGACAATAGTCGCATGGTAATGTCGTATACGTTTTACCGAAATCAGTAGGACCTATTCTTCAAAACCATTCGATGTATTTATAGTCGCATCATAGACTTATAATATTATAATCATAATATATATAATATTATAAAATATTTTATTAAAATAATGACTGATGAAATAAAAAGTCGAGCTATGATAGAACAAATGATGGCACTAAATGCATTCTTAAAACAAGATTAAGATTAAGCGGAAAATTTAGTTCCACATTTACATTTAAAACGGCACAAAATCATTGGAAAGCCATAGCTGATAATTTGAATGCTATGCCAGGATCAGTAAAAGACTGGAAAAAAATACCGTAAAGTAAGTAATTAGATAGGTACCTAATTTATATTTTTCTGTGTTATACTCTTCCTATAATTTTACATTATATAAAGACATGTTCTATTAATAAATAGCTTACATTTTTGATGCTTTGATTTACAATATTTCAAAATAACTGTTATAGAAAAGAATACTTTAATTCATAATTTTCAGTAATTTCTTAATTTTGTTGTCAAAATTATATGTTTTTTTGAACCTATAAAATTGTAGGTATTTTATTCAATTAAAAACATGCAAATGCATGAACTTCTTAATTATACGTTTTATAACTTATAAGTTTTAAAGTATTACAATAATTCACATACCCAAGAAATTTGTCAATAATTTGATCATCAATTTTTTACAGACTTTTCAAGACAATCGTACAAAAACTAAATCTAAAAAGTCAGCTCTTAAAACTTCTCAAAGAAAAAACTGGATTTAATACACTGGGTATCCCTTTAACACAATTGGAAAATGATACTTTGGATCTAATAAATCCTACTGCCATATCGGGTCATATAGCATCAAAAATATTATTTACATTTAATGTGGACACAGATGAAAACATTATAATGATGAATCAAACTGAAACTGAATCTACACCTATTCTGAACATATCTAGTGCTGATATATCAATGAGTCCTTTTATGTTCTCATTACCTGAAAATGGTAGTGCCACAAATGACGAGCTGGATTTAAGTGTTCCTTGCAAACATACAAGTAAAATATATTTTATAATAAAATAAAATTAACTTAATTAATTTTAATGCATTTTTTAAATTTTAAGCAAGTAAAATAGATAAAAAAGTTAAACCTAAAAGGTCATCTGCTGCGAAAAGACTAGCAGAAAGTAATGATAGTGCTACAAGACTGGTTTTCCTAGGATAAAAAAAACTTATGAAGAATAAATATAATCGTGCAAAACTTGTTATTCTCCAAGAAAAGAATAATATTATAACACATATTGCTACTGCAATTGAAAATAAAATTTCTTTATAATTATATATTACTAATACATTGATTAAACTAAATATACATATATTTAATCAATATTTAATGTGTATTTTGAGAGATAAAATGATACTATAAATTACAATTTATTTTTATTTTGTTATCAAATGATTTTTCTTAAATAACTGTTAAAGTTAAAAAGTTTAAAAGATTTATGATTTATTTTTAGTATTAAAACTCATGTTTAAGTACCAATACACTTTTATTTGTATGTGTTACTATAAAATATAAGATATCAGACTGACAAATACCAATAATATGTTAATTATTATTAATATATTAACCTAAATGTTTATTGTTCTTTATAACTCATGATTTAATTGTTTAAGTCATGTTTAACATTTATTAGATAATATATAGGTTATCCTACATTTTTTTGGCAACTCATTTTCACCTACTACTACAATTGTTTTTTAATTTAGACAACAATATTCCTATTTCACATTATTTTTATTTTATTTCAGATGAACCAGTCCAATACTATGATGATTAATAACCATAATATATTATAATATCAACATTAAAAGATTATTATAACCCATAGATAATTTATATACAATAAACATATACTATAGTAATTAAAGTTATTTAATTTATTATTATTAAATAATTTACAAATTATACTTTTTTATTATTATATTAAACTAAACACAGATTTAATGTTGCATGTTTCTTTGCATATAGTTAACAATTGTTGACCTAAAATTTCTGCCTTGTATTAAATCATTGCCTTGGTGGTTGTTTTCATTATTTGGAATATTTTGTTGAAAAACTCCCATATCTAAGTCAATTAGACCTTCATCATTCGGTAATGGTATATTATTTATTATGCATACATTATGCAATATTGTACATGCATTAATAATTTTTGTTGCCTTTTCTAGATGGTAATGTAGAAATCTGTATTTTAAAAGACACCTAAAACAAATTTTACTAAGGATTTATACATTTTTATAGTTATATTATTATTTGAAAAATTATTGTAATTCAATTCAAGACCAGTATTTTACATTTTTTAGATAAATAATCATTAAATATATTTTACATTGTATAGATATAGGATATAGATTAAATATTACTTCTAACCTTTCCTAAATCTCATTTTTAAAACTCCAATGCACCTTTCAATTACATTCCGAGTTGACATTTGCATCCTATTATAATATATTTCTCCTTCAGTGGTTGGTTCATTTATGGGAGTCAATAACCAAGGACGTAGAGGATACCCAGAATCACCTAATTATTTTATTTATTACAGATTTACAAGTATTTAAAACCATATTTTTAATTGTAAGTACTACCTGAAAGAAAAAATCCTTTATGACCATTTTCATATAGTCTTTTTACTAATGGTTGTACACAGTCTTGTAAAGTATTCGAATACAAGTATTTGAATACATGTATTAAAATACTTTTTGGAGTATTTTTTGGTATTCTAAATACAATTTTTCTAAGTATTTTGAATACTTTTTAAAAGTATTTTTAACAATTTGTAAATACTTGTATTTAAATACCACAAAGTTTGTTTTAATAATTGTATAATCATAATAATTCTCTATCTTAATAATTGTTCCTACTTCTAAGAATAATATTCAGTTATTATTGATAAATCTAATAAGTAATAAAATAATAAGATATTACTATAGTATTACTAATTTTAAAACTGTTAAATTTCAAACCGTTTTAACGCTATCATATATTTTTTTTTAAATATTATTTTGCTTAATTTTATATTAATAAGTATTAATTGTTATAGGTTGTGACTAAATATCAATAAATAATAATGTAAATAATTTATTAAAATATGCAATGATTATTATTTATATTGTAATTACAATTGGTAATATTTAATTTCTAAAAAGTAATTTATTTTTAACCATACCTGTAAATGTAAAATAATATTATCGGCTTAATCTTTAAGTTTTAACTCTAAAAATGTAATTTCATGTTTATTAATTTCATGAATATAGAGTATCAAAAATTAATTTTTATCTCATTATCTAGATTATATTATAATATAATTATATAAAAAGAAAGCATTATATTAATGAGATTCAATTTATAAACACAAAAAAATTGTATAACAGAAAAAGTAGTATATAACAATGTTAAAAATTTAAAAAATGTTACATTCAATTTTATATGGGTTTATTATTGTAATTTTTAAGGAAATTTTTTCAAATAGTTCTATATTAATAGTTAATACCGTTTTTTATTTATTTTTTTGTCATTTAATTGTATTAATACTAGTAGATATATATAATATGTGAATGAAATATGTGAACATGACCTCTAAATAGTCAGACATGTTTTGTATTTTTTAAATTGTTAAATCTATAGTAATTAGTATCATAATATAGGTACCTAAACTGATATATAATCAGTGGCATAAACAATTTTTTTCTATGGGGGGGGGGGGTTAACTATAATATTATATAATATTAAATTAAAAAAAAAAATACTTGTATTTGTATTCAAATACTTAGAGAAAAATTAGAGAATATTCGTGAAATACATTTTTATAATAGTATTTTATAAGTATTTTTAATACTATTTTATTCGAATACTATTATTAGTATTTTAATACTTTTTCAAAAGTATTTTTTACAAGAATGGTTGTACATCACTGTTGTTCCATATGTAACAATCATTAATAGAACCGGGAAATAATGCATTTACATTCAAAATTCTAAGTTTTGCATCACATACCTAAAACAAATTTTTTATGAAATAATACTAATCAATTTTTTAGTAAAATTTATGATTTGTGTGCCATATCAAATTAAATATATATCTATTATTAATAAAAAATGTGGATACAAACTGGATATTAATTATTTATTATTCAAGTATAATTTATTATTGTAGGTAATGATATAATTATTTTAAATACTCAACTAATTGAACATTTATTGAGTGGTAGCCCTTGCGATTGATGTAAATATATTCTGAGTAAACACCTAAAGACTCTTTTTTTGGTGGCACTATAGCCACATGAGTGCAATCTATACAACCTATGCAGGCTTGAAAACCAGTTGTTTCATAAAATCTAAAATTATGAATCTGTATTAATAATATAAATTTACGTACATCAAACAAATAATTTTGTATGACATAATAAATTTATAAATTATAAACATTTTCAAAAATATTGATAAAGAATTCTTACTCATTTCGAATTTTTCGTAATTCACTAAAATTACTTGGAAATTTCACCCATTTACCAAAAATATTTTCATTATTTAATGCTAAAGCCACTTGCTCTAAAGATCTAGATACCGAACTTTGTAAAATTACTGCAAATCTACTATTGCCAACTGGAGTTTGGTGGCAGCCAGTAGCAAAAAAATGAAGTGCTATTAAAACCTAAAATAAAATAGAATTTATTTATATCAATAATAGTTACGTATCACAGTAGGTACCTGTATGACTGTATAAATAATAATAAATAAAATTGTAAGTACCTATATTGTAATAAATTTAATAATTTAATTTAACTCTGTGTCGTTACGTCTAAGTTAGACGATCTTTTTTGTGATATAATATATGGACTCAGTTCTGTTACTAAACAATTTACTAGAGTTTTAAAGAGTCTATAATTTTTTATAAATGCAGAATTTGAAAGTTCAAAAGCATCCGTACTGACAGTAGCTTGCAAATTTGCATGAGGTTGAAAATTTATTTGAAATTTTGAACAACAAATAAATGTACTAAATCGTCAAAATTAGCCATTGTCAAAACTCTAATGACATATAAATTATAATAATATTGACAAATTTAAAAGTCTCAAGTTGCGATATGACAAACAAAACTGATAATTATATAAATTAGAAATCGGTAAGATTATAATATCATAATCCCACCATAGTCGTATTTTACAACTCGTTGTCGTGTGGTCAGGCCCACACTTTTTGAAGTTGAATGAATTTTCATACGCTTGCAAGTCGTGCAAAATTCAAGAATAGGAAATTTCAAATTTCACTCGACAATAATTAGTTGTCGTATATGACTACTAAATAGCGCCGTTCAATAATTGGACCCCAGGACGGCGAAAAGAAATAATCGTAAAAAAAAATATGAACTTATGAAAAACACCGCAAAGTTGTGCGTACGCGGAAAAACAGACGAAATCAGTTTCGGACCAAGTCGGACGTCGTCACGACCATAGACAACAGTTTTTTATAATATAAAAACAAATAACATATAATATATAACATATTATGTCTATGGTCACGACTAGTGATGGGTGTAAACTAGTTATACAGTCGAGAAATCTCTATCAAAATAATAATTCGATTATATACCCGAGATATTATTTTGAACGATTTCTCGTTTATTTTAAAACAATCGATTGATCTCGTAATGTGTATCGAATGATCTTCATGGAACGAATGAGTGAGGGAGGATTATTACTTTTAATCTTCATAATCGAATAAGTAAATACTAGTAGTTCATTTTGAGTCTATATATTTACGACTCATGCTACTCGTGGGACTGGTTGTTAGACAAATATTGATGGGTATACGATTACTCTTAGTTATTTATATTTTGAACTTTGACATAAATATATAGCTATAATTTTTGAATTACTTAACCACAAAACAACAAAAATTTCTCAGAACGTTTATAAATAAAATTATATTATATTTCAATGGAACATTTCGAATGATTATAAAAATGTCTTGATTACTAATATTTCGATTATGCCCATTACTAGTCACGACCAATCCACTTTCCCCCATCATATGATAAATGGGAAACCGGTGATATGCTGATGGTTCGATCCGCTGTCTGGTGGTTGATTAGAAAAATAAACGGCCGTTGTGATAATAACTGTGGCACGGACCGCGTCAGAGTCATTTAAAAGTCCAGTTCATTTCATTATGATTTATAAGAATTTATATCGAGTATTTCTTATTGTCAACACAGTGCTGAACTTCGGCCTAGACAGACTAGGCAGCTGCTTATGGGCCCGCACCTTTCCAGGGCCCTTTGCCAAGCATCGAAAAAAAAAAAGTTTTCTCACAAAATGGATTAACACGAGGAAATATTTCGTGTATGGAATACTATTTATATTATTTTGAGGTAGTATTTTGGATATTGATAATTGTTATGTGTGTATAAAGTGATGATGTGTATCCAGGGCCGGTTTTTGCTCTCAGCGCCCAGTGCAAGATTTATTTCGACGCCTTCATTTTGGAGAGGTAGGTACATTCATAATCAAAAAATGCTCAAAGTAATTGTTCAAATTACCATTCTAGCCACATACAGAGAATATCAGCCACTATTTCCATGTTGATATAATATTAAATAATAATAATGATAAAATTAATTTATATTAAATCAAATTGAGAATATTGTTTATTTTACCAATAGTAGATAATTTGTGTTGCCAACATGTCATCAAATTAATTTCTAATTTTAATGCTTTTCACGCGCCCTGTACCGTCGCACGCACCGATCATATTTAAAACCGGCCCTGTGTGTATCTTTCAAAATCTTATATATATATATAAATATACGATGTGACGTATACATATCATAGTGCATAAGCGGTACTTGGCTCTTATTGTCGGGGGGAGGGGGTCAAAAATTAATCACATCAAAGTGAAGTCAAAACTCGTAACATCTACTACCAGATGGCACATAAATATTACTTCACTTTGTCATTCAATGAATTGACTTTTACAGATACGCCTACAATACATAACTCAATTTTCACTTAATTTTTACTTACATCACAATGGTTTTAATCCACTCGTATATATATATGAGTTACGGTAAATTAAGAAAAACACGAAAATGATATAATTTCCAGGTAAATATCCATTTTAAATCTATATGTGTAGATTTTTCGTGAATTATCGGGAATTTGCAATAAAGAATTGTACAAATAGTAATGGTTGTATCTTATCATATATCGTATTTAAAGCCAATTTAGATGATTTCTGATGTACTAACTCGTACAATTCTTATACTTCATTTAAATAATAATTGGTTTTTCCGATGATAAGATGAACTAAAAATCAAACTTCATTATTAAATTTGTGTTACAGTCGAATTTTAATTAATATACGAGTACACAATATTTATTAATTTTTTTGGTGAATAACGAAATTAACCGGGAAGTATCGAAAATCTCCAAATTTTATAAATGTCTACTATAATTACCGGTTAATTACGTAATTTTCATGTTATACGTAACTTACCATAAAAAAAAATGAGTCTATGAATAAGGGGTAGAGGAAAAGGCTCGTCCAGAATATAACAAATTTACAGAGCGAGACTATTTTTCAACAAGATCTTGGGGACCTTGTTAATCATTCTTGACCATTTTTTACTTGACATTGAAGGCACACGTTCAAAAATGTCTTTGGGCGCAAAAACTCCCAAATCCAGTACGGATTATTTCTATTAATATTATTATTTTTTTGCAAATACTTATTATTATCGTTATTATAAATTGATGTAACGGAACAACTTATATCCTTTTGTAAAATGTAATATACATACATAGGTAGTACATGTGTAATATTGTAATTAAAAGTTTATCGATTGTTGTGTACAACTTATGTAGGCACCTGTACATTTTATTCTTCGGGACATAATTCGTGTAACCCGAAAAAAAATCCACTTCCTAATACTTGGGATACAACTCATTTGCGAATAATGTATTACGTTTTTGAATAAAACCCGAACGCGTGAGAATGGCATAGCGTCTATTTCCGTCGTACTTATCTACGTCTATTATGGTTTTAATGTCGTGACTTTCGCCGACGGAGTGTGACGACGAGAAAACGCTCGTTATCGCTGTGAAATACCGGCTATTCCGAGACCCGTTCGACCATCAGCCGCGGTACTACCATTGATTAAATATTTAATCGTTGTAACTACTAAACCAGAACACGTATGTTCAGTTGCTCTTCGTTTATTGTTTTGTTCGTGTGTTTTGTGCGAGTGCGTGACAATTGTTTTTCGTTTTGTGTTTAGTGTTTTGTTTTGCTATATTTCATAAAATTTTATGGTTTTTGTGGAAATCGATAGTGCCCGGAACTTCATAAATTTACCTGTTTCCGTCCACGTAATGCCCTGGTTAGCCTTTCAGCGCTCACGGAAAGATAGAAATCTTCTGAGACAGACCTAGAGTGTTTTTAGAAGTGTAAAAATTAATAAAAGAAATTTTGTAGAATTTAACTTTAATACTTCGTTATAATTTACGAAACAAAGGTCTATACGTCCGATACGGTATTTCACGTAGTTAGGCCGTTTGCACACAGTCCGATAAAATCGGACGATATTATCGGTGATTGTGTCGGATACACCAATAATACGTTATTTTAAATCAATCGTTTACACACTAGTTCCGATCCGATAAAATATGTATTTTTAATTCACCGATATCGTTGTGCATGTCGGACAAACGACCAAAATCGAACAATACTTTATCGGTCCGGTTTTAATGATTACTAAAAATAAATGGTTCGTTTGCACACTCGTCGATATTATCGGAATAATGAAATAAAATGTAGTTTTAATTCCTCGCATGTATCTAATAGGAACTTTCAATATTTAAGTATTTTAAATTTTGAAAAATGAGTTACTTTCCCTACGACGTGCCAACTCTAATTGAATTAGTAGAATCAAGACCATGTCTTTGGGATAAAACAACAAATGAATATAAAGACAGAAATCTTAAAAATCAGATATTTTGTCTAGTATTAAGGTAAAAGTAGAAAAGCTCATGCGGAAATAATTAAAAAAATTTTGTTCATCATCAATTAGTTTTTGAAATAGTGTATAAAAAGCACCTTCAACATATCTTGCTGTTAAAATAGGGTGCACCCAAAAAGTCCTCTTGCGTTTTTTTTGCTACTAATTCACGTTTTTGTTTAATGTGTAATACCGCTAAGAGGGCGATTTTCTTTTTGGAATTCATTTTAAATTATTAAACACTAGAAATGGTAAGAAATGTCTGACAGATACAAGCCTAATAACCGTAATAATATGATTTTTATTCTTTTATCGGACCGATAATTTTGACTTTGATAATTTTGTGCAAAATATATCCGATATTATTATCGTTACCGATTTTATCGTCCGATATTATCGGACTGTGTGCAAACGGCCTTACTCTTACACGTCTAGTACCAGTCCTCGCCGTATGCTAACAATAACCCGTAAGTATACCCGAACCTTTACATTTGCGTGAACAATGTTTAAGGTGATGTATGTTAATAACATATATATTGGGGTGTATATTTATAAAGTGAAAAAACAAAGTATTTTAAAGTGTCTAAAATTACAAAAATAACCATGTTACGATATTGCAATGGCTCATTGTGCCGCGTCGACGTATTGGAAGTTTGCGCCGCGTACACCGATAGCTCAGAGGACAGTTCGGCATTTAACATGCGTAAACTTATATACAATTAAGTATTTAATATTAACAATGCATTGTATAATATTGTTTACACTGTGTTCCACCATAAAGTTGCCAGTTGAGCTACGACAGTCGATCACAACCCAACGGGTTCACAAATGAAATCTTACCTTCTATATTTTGAGTGTTTTCACAAATATATTCACGTCTTTGTGATAACATTGTATTCTACTACATAATTATGATTTTTATAATGATGGTCAGGTGAAAACGCCCAGTATTCGGTTTGTGTTAAAATCTTTAAACGTGATTTATTGAAAAATATATGTGCACGGAAAACCAGATCTCGATTACAATTGGGCCGTATGATTTCGCGCGATTCACGTGCCGATAAGATAACGGTTTAAATGGTTGAAACACATCGTGTTCTCGTCGTCGACAATCGTAATCTTGTCCAATACGTCGCATTCGATTTACTTTTCAATATCTAAACGTGCATCGCCTCGCTGTTGACGCTGCCTCTAACGGCGGGTACAATATAAGTCGAGCAGCAATATGACCGGCAACGCGATCGCCGTGTGTACGTGATGTTAAGCCGCTTCCGCACTAGTAAAAATGTACGGTTGTGCGTCGGATTCGGCGCAAATTTGTTCGTGCGGCACAAGGTATTATGTGAACGTGTTCGCCGCGTAAAGCCGGTCCCACGCGACTCGTGTACTCGGCGAATAATCGTCAATCGTTATGTTTTACGAGTCTTGTAGGAGATGTTTAATTGTCAGGTATGGCAATTATTTTTATTCGCCGAGTCGCCGCTCGGCGTTTCCCATCGGTTGTCGGTAAATGTGACGCGAGTCAAAGGAATTATAAATAATTTGGTAATCGTGGAGTTTCCCATACGACTTGTAGTCCTGACTCGCTACTCGCACCACTCACTGGTTTTTATATTTTGTTTGTTGACAGTCTTCAATGTGTTAATTAATATGCAATTCATTTAGTTCACGTGTTTTCGGTGACTATAATGCCTTTATTAAATTAATATTTTAATAATTTAATTCATCACTTTACTCGTTATTAGGGAACGGATTTATATGCAATAAAAATACAGAAATATGTACTTATATATGTAAATATAATTTATAAAATATGTGCTAAAAACATCCAAATATGTAGGGGGGGGAATTAAAGAAAAAAAAATAATTATAATTATTAAATTATCAAAATGATTTGTTGCATTGAATTATTACAATATCTTAAATTATCAAATGTTAAATGTCGCCTAAATGTTAGGTATCAAAATATTTTTAAAACTGCTAAATTATCGTTTCACATCAACCGATGTATTTAAAGCATATTTCAAGCGCATATTATCAGAAGGCGATAATTCCAAATTTTTAGAAGGGTGTCTGCCACTCATTATGTCATTGAATGTTTTAAAATCAATATTGCCTGAAATTTTTTTCTGTAACAGCATGAATTTTCTTTTTTGCAACGTCTTCTATTGGTCCGCTTACGAGTTTTAATTTTTAAATTGTTGATTCAACAATTTGCATACTATCATTTAGGGACATATTTTTTATTACAAATTTTATTAAATTATTTTTCAATGTTTGATTTTGCATAATATTTTGAGCTTTTCCAATAGTGATAGAATTTTCTGGATCTAATTTTTAAATAATTTCTTGTATTTTTGTACGAAGAAGACGTATGAATGATGAAATGATAAAAATATGTTCAAAAATATTTACAAATTAGTGAAATACGTAAAAATATGTAATTATACCAAAATATCTAAAATAAAAGTATCATCATTTAAATCATAAATATTTCTTATCGAATCTTAAATATCTCGTTTCATTAAAAATATGCATTTATATATAAATCCGTTCCATGGTGAAATATAATGTAATTTTGTAAATTTCTTCTTTTTAAAGATTGATCCCCAAACGAATACAGAATACTACCGTAAACAAAAAGATTATTGGGCAACGAAACACCTGCCAAGTACTTACTGTTTTGACAGTAGGGTACATTACCCTTTTGGTCGTTCTTCGTTTGATGAGGGACCAATTGACGATGTAGTATACAGACCTGTACCTGTGTATTCCGTTGATAATCAAAAAAAAAAAAATGATGGCGTCCGTTGCATCAAAGCCGGCTGCTAGGCGAGTTTCCAATGTAGTTACTGATATTGGAGCTGGCGTCCCAAAATCGCCAGTGGTGCATGAATTGTATGTAGACGCATCGAGTAGTCTAACTATCCGTAATTATATATTATATGTATATATGTATTTTTTTTTTTATTGGAATTTTCTTTACCTGTTTTTTTTTTATATCAATTTGTAGGCGATAATTTGCTACCACCAGAATCCCCTACAAAACGTTTACGCTCGACTTTTGAACACTGTGCACTGAAGTCGCCATTGAAGTTCCCTCATAAAGTGAAATATTCCGCCGAGGAAGAACTTATATTGCGTCGGTTGGTATTGACGAACGACCCCATTCTTTCGTCATTCGACAATATACTTAAATTATTAAAAACCCTTCCATTTAACGAGGTACCTACTAGGTCAGTGATATCCATTCGGACAAAAGTAAGAGATATTAAGAAGCAGCTTCAACAACAGTAGGTAAGAATGATATCAATAAATTGTATAGTATATTTTTTTTATCACACGAATAATTCACTTTTATCATAATTTATAACAACCACAGTGGCGCACGTATTGGGGAGGGGGTTAAGGGGTTGAAAACTCCCGAAATTTTCTCCGAGGTCTAGGTTAAAATTTGTAAATTTTACAAGTTTGAAATATGAAGAGCTTGTATTATTGAATACCTAGTATCATTGATTATAGGATAGTCTATTCTATTATCAATGTTATTATTTAAGTTAAAATATATAAAGGATTTGCATAATTTTGTTAATTGTAAAATGTGTTATATTTTTACCTTGACCCCCCTCCCCCCCTCAAAAAAAAAACCTATGCGCGCCACTGAGCAACCATATATAGGTATTTTTACTTGATAAATTTTAACCTTAATTGAAAAAATAAATAATAATTATAATTATATAAATAATAACCAAAATAGAGTTGTTTCGTTGATCTTACGATCGGTGCGCATGCACTGACGAACTAAGATCAAGAGCTCCGGAAAGGTTAGTGTATGTTATATAGGGACATATGTCGGCATGGATCTTGGGCGGTCCTTTGAAGATTAGTCTTTATTGTTCGATTTGTGTTGTCCGTACAGGTATCGAAGGAACCGTTATTTACTTATTTAAAATGGTTTAAAATCACGTATATACGAATAGTATACATTATTATAAAATATTTGTGCCGTCTTTTACAATCGAATGGTGCACATCATTACACATGTATTCACATTGTACATGATTAAGTTATTCAATTACCAACCGTTATTGTTCACTGTAGATTTTATTTTATAAATTTGAATGTTAAAAAATATAAGCATTACGAAATCATTATAAAATTACATCAGTATCATAAATATTTGACCGCATATAATATTGCAACTATCGTAATATATACATACCATAAATACCACAAATACCCACACAAAGGTGATCTATTTATATTCGCAGCCAAACACCTGTACAAAATAATCAATTTCATTCATAATCAATATTCTGGCTGCACTTTGCAAAAACGTGGCAAATTTTTTTTATTATTGATGGTTATAAAAATAATATTTTCACATATTAACTTATAGTTACATAAATCTAACAGTAACAGAAAAATTACAGTTATATTTTTTCTTATAACTTTGGGAAATTTAAAATAAAATTATTTTTGGTATCACAGTTTTTAAGTAATTACCAAACCGTTAGAAAAATTGTATTAATTTTCCTAAATGAATTATACATTTTGTATTTTAGTATTTTTCTTGGGCAGTACAATGAAATAACAAGAAAATAAATTGTAAAAACATGTTGAACACACATTAGTAGGCTATACAACTGAAGTTCAGTGCTTGTTTTTAGAATTTAACATGAAAAAACAATAACACAAGAAATGTCAATGTTCTTACATTTCAAAATTACATGTTAACTAATATTACAATAATAATAATACTAATGACAATACTAATGTTTGATTTATTAAGAGAAAAACATACGTACAAATAAGTTTAAAATAAAATATATAATAAATATTATGGTTTCCAAATGCTTAAAAAGTGGTACTTGTCCAATATGCTATCTACCGTAATTTGATGATAGTTTAGTATGATATCTACCGTAGGTTCGTATGCTGTATATTATATATACTTAATCATTTTGTTATCATCATGATTAAGCTTTTACAAAACCCCAAATTATATTATGTTTAAACCTTAGTAGGTATAGTTTTATATTATACTTGTTTAGTATGTGTTTGTGACTCGTATCGATTATATGTGTTTTTACTGTGATTTATTTAATATTATTTATTAATTATTATGAGTTTGTCAACTATAAGTTATTTATATCGAAATATAATAATATATTATATTACATATTATGTATGAAAAATGTTTAAGCATACGAAGTTACCAATCGATCAAACATATGCAAAAATTAAAAACCAAACAATTTGTGATGGCTAGTTGAAAAAAGTTCTTAAAAAATATCATTTCTTGGAGCGATCAGAAATATACAGTAGTTAAAATATTTACGGTAAATAGCATACTAAACTATTAAAAGTGCGCTAGATAGCATATTGGACAAGTACCTATAAAGTAGACAATAGTTTAAATTTAAGATATACATTGAAAAATGCTTAATTTGAATAAAATAGAATACATATCAAATAAATATAATAATTTCAAATTTAGTTTCATATAGATCTTATTTTAAATACATTATAGGTGTTTGATGTGTAACATAGTAGTATGAAAATGATGCTTTTTAAAAATCTTGTTAATCTAAATTTACTAATAATTTTTCTAAAACAAAATATACCCTTTGTATTGTGTTGTATGTTAATATTTGAATGAAAGAATGACTTAAAAGTTTCAAGCTGTTGTTATAAGAAAATATATTGTGGTTCTCAGCAATCTTAATTTTTCAAAAAAAAAACACCTAAAACACAAATTAAATATGTATATAGTGACTGCAATAGAACAAAACTATTTTTATATTGATTAGTGTTTTAAACCAACAAAATAGAGAAATTATTTGTTTTTATAGTTAAATCAATATGAAGATTATATTTTATAAATGCATATAATATAACATACTTTTAAAAGTAGTAACACTAAAACACTCTTTTTTTCATTACATTTAATAATTTATGATATGTCATGTATATTTTTATAATGTATTATAAAGAGTTCCTAAATAATAAGTATCTATATATTAAAATAATTCCTAACTTAAATATTATCTAATTAAGTAGGATTAATATTTATATCACTATAGAATATACTTGAAAATATGTGTAAATTTGTTTAAATAATACATTTTAAATATGATTATAAACTGTTGAAAACCTTATTTGTAAGTACTAAATATAAAGAAGATTAAATACATATTCAGTTTGAAACAGTATTCTTATATAAAATAGTTTAGTTATTAGAGCTATAATTTATCTAATTTAACAATACTGAATTATAATAAGTTTCTAATAAATACCATAATATGATTAGATTTAATTAATTGCTTAAAATTATTAAAACTTGAAAAATAATCAATGTGAAAATTTTGTTTTATATCAAATTTAATTTCCATGGTACCTACTTAAATATAATGATTAATTAATTCAAATATTTTGTGAATTCAACGGATGTGATCACCAAGTACTGAACTCCCATTATAATTTAAGAAAATCTCATTTAAATTATTTATACAATATGTGAAATTATTGACATTCAATAAATGTATGCAATCCATATTAATGTAAAAATATAAATTGTAATTTAAAAATTCTACCTTTTTGTTTTATGTCTAACTTTAAAAGAACTATTCCCATAAAGCATTTATCTTCTTTTCAACATCCAATTTTTGTAATTCTTCTAAGTTTGAAATTTTGAAGATTTGTCCTTGTTTCGCCATAAATATTCCTGTCAAATTTGCCCATTTGTATTCATAATCGTAACATTTTGTAACTTCTCTAGCCAGCCAAAATAGTTTTTTGTTGTACTGAGTAAGTTGATCATTTAAATATACCTTAGAATTACTAAAATTAGGATTAATATCTTTTGCTGTAAGTGGATTATTAAGCTTGTAACGAGACTTTACACTATTAATGAGTAAGTCTTTAACTGTTTTTGAATTAAATTGTACAACTATGTTTCCTTCATTATTATGATGAGATCGTTTTCTAGATGAATAAACTATGTCATCACTACTTAATTCACAGTTCAATATTCGAGCAATAGTCTTCACAATGCCATAAACATTTTCATTGGACGTTTTTGGAATTCCATAAATTTCTATATTATTCACCATGGTTGATTGTTCAGCGCTGTTGATTTTTTTTTTTAGAACTTTTATTTCACTCTCAAGTTTATCACATTGTAATTTATATGCTTGTATTTTATTTTCCATTTCAGAAATTTTATTCATTGCCGATTTCAAATTGGAATTAAGAATATCACTTGATTCTGAGAAAACATTCAAAGATTGTTTAATCGATTCCATATTGGCCGAGAAAGATTCGATTTGTTTAAATTTGTCCTTCATATCAGTCTTATTCGTATCAAGATCGGTCATCTCATTTAAGTTGTCTATTAAATGCAAATTATTTTTCAACTTCTTACTCGATGAAACTTGTTGAAGTCTTTCGTTGCAACGTTCACAGTTCCAGACATCCTTAACGTTTTTGTAGCTGTCAAAAGTTGTAAGCTCCGTACACATTGGATGGAAAATTGAACTACAGTTGTTACACACTGCCGATTTTGTCGCGGAAACTCTAACATTACATTTGCTACAAGACATGATTTTGATATGAGAACGAACTGGATAGAACCAACACGATTACGCGATGCACTACTATAGTCAACAACTGGAGACCACGAAAGTCTGAAAAATCCGACACACGTAAACACGATACACTTTTCGGTTATAGTCTTAAAACTGAATAGTAACAACTACTGCAAACGTACAATTAAACATCTATTGTTTTTTCGACAATGAATTACTACAGAGTATTACTCTCTGCATTAGAGCATCAAACGAAAAGTACAATAATGAATGGCCACGGACGTGTAGGACTTCACTGTGAGCAGTAAACGCGGTTTCGAAGTGTTTTAGTGCATTAGTGTGCTTTCCAACAGTCTTAACCTCAAACATTTTAAAAATTCGTTTCAGTGGGACGAATACTAAGCAACAGTGTCAACAACCAGAAAATACTGATGAATCATCGTAATCGATAATGATTATTTACATAGATAGATAAGGGAATTTGCTGTGATTGTATTGCAATTGATTTTAGAATATATTTATTTATTTGACGACCAAGGGCATTAGCGTATAAAAACTAATTATAATTCAAAGTCCAAACAAAGATGCCGAAATTTTGATTCGGAATCGTAGTCGAAATCGAATTAGCTAACTAATTCGATTTCAACTACGATGGTTAACCACTGGTTATAACCTGTTGGTTAAAAAAAATGGTCACGATGATCCGGGTGTGTATAGTTAAGTGAAAATAGATCCCGCCCGGCCTTCGGTTCGATGAAAAAAAAAATAAATGAATAAATGGTTACTACGAATGGCCAAACGGAACAAAAGGACAGTTGACAGTCCTCCGATCGAGAAACATCATCGTCGAATCCGATTATCAGCTGTTTTAATATCAATAATATTATTGGCGGGTTTCTTGTTGTCAATGTGCGCCCGACCTGCGTATAAAACAACGACGTTATATAAGTAAGTTTATAGAAAGGTACATCAATTTTAATCCACCCTCATATTTAGCTTTGCGGAACATGACGTCTTGTTGATTATTTACCGCTTAAGCTCAAACAACCTACGCTGTTCGATTGGATAACTGTCTCCAAAAGGTAATACCATCGTGTGTACTAAATATTTTTGATTTGCATGCAACAGCACAAATGTATAATTTTTGTGTTTTATTATGTCCATAGTGTATGTACTTGAAGGTCTTCGGTGCATGATTGACAGATATTATTTTTATCTAATATTAAGCAGTGTTCATTTTTTTCGCAATTATGTGCTTTACGTAAGAAGATTTGTTCGATTGTGATATAATAATATCAGTTGGATGTAAAGCTATCAAAACAATAGATATTTCATTTTCTTTGTTTAGATCTATAATATATTATAAAAAACATATTTTAAAACTTTTATATGCCGGATGCTAACAAATAAAAAATATAAATGTAAATGTGAAAACTCATTTATAGTGTTTCACATAATTATGATTAGTCTGTAGATTTATATATGTTATAACAATCGAACGAAAACGCACGTACATGATACATCATATGAAAACTATTCACTGAAAACCATCCACCAAATATATAAAAAAGGCTCTGGATCAACATTAATTTCAGACGTGTCTAGCCATCCAGTATGAACACCCCGCTTACTATTGTCTTCGCTGTTTTTTGTCTAAGTGTTAAATATATTATAAAATATTATAGTAATAGTATTCTTATAAGTTAATCATTGAACTTTTCTCATCACAACACTTAGATAAATAACTTAAATATAAACATTATTGTGGCACTGTCGAATAACTGGCGGGGCACGCTACAAAGCTTTTAAATAAGTATTATGTTAATTTTAAAATCACTTTAAATACCCATTACATTTTGAGTTAAAGTGTTTAATTAATAAATATTCAGTATATTTGTGTAATTTTCCATTACTTGCTAATTTATACTTACATTTTTTAATAATTTTAAGTACCTAATGTATTGAAAAATATGTTTTTATGTGTTGAAACTCTTGAAATATGAATTTATCAAGTTGACTGCTATGAGCACTATAATTGGTACTCATATTGTACGTATGCTAGGCCTTAATAGTTTTAATATATTTGTTCTGTATGCTTTGAGTATTAATTCTGGTGCTCATACTGTTTGACTCTCAGACTTTGAGGGCCAATTTTAATATTCATAATTTTATAGGATAATGTCACTGTGTACCATTATTGGTATCAATAAAAAAATGGAAAAAAAAAGTACAGATTAAGATGATTAATTTCATGTATATATTTTAATATGTATTCTAATATTGTTATTTGTTCATATAAAAAAAATTATTAGAATTTGTATATCTTTTCTTTATATTTTGGATAAATTAACTTACAAAATAATGTATTTACTAAAAATTAATTAAATAAAAATAATTAAAAAATTTAAAAATAAAAAAATATTCTATTTTATTTTTTTGATTGTAAAAAAATAATCTAAGAACAAAGGTTTCGAACAACTTGTACTCATATTTCAAAAGTGAAAGAAATTAATATGACAATATGAGATATAATTAAATTCTATAGGCATTAAGTACCATAAATGGTACTCACATATATTTGGTTAATTTTTCTTTAAATAAATATACAGTTACATCAATAAACTTATAAGATAAGACAATTATTTAAAATATTAAAAAAAAAAACCAAAGGCTGTGGTATATATCATCCAAAAATACAGTGATGTACGTGAAAAAATTAGTGAATACCAGTTTTGGTACTTATAGCGTGTAAGAACAACCCTAAAAAAATACTTCAGCAGTCTTGTTATATCAAATTTATTATATTGATTTGTTTAGATACTTAAATGGATGTTTGAAATAATTGTAAATTTTATATAATTTCAATGCAATTATGAGTAGGTTATTTAATTTTCCTTAACCAATATTGAATTTTTCTAGATGCTAATGTGATCATATATTGATATAGATTAAAATGTATTTAAATATTAAGTATAGATTATTATATCATTGTTTTAAAATATAATTTTAACTATTATGCTTCTATGGCTATAATATAACTATTTAATGTAATTATTGTTATTGAATTAATTTTTTTAACTTCTGGTTCATAACTATATCTCATTATTTTAGGTTTGCTTTATTTAAGATAAGAAATAAAAAATTAGTGAATTATAATTAATACTTTTATTTTACTTTAATGTAGATATAGTTGAACATTTATATAATTATTTAATTATGGTGCATTGAAGTGGGATATCTTCCCCATTCTTCTATTATCTGTATTCACATTAATAAACTAGTTAAATTATTGACTTTATATAGCATTTAATTAATGAAGATGTAATGCTAGGTTATGCCATTTTTTATTGATTATATTAATGGATTATTGATTATAATGCATTCAGAATAATCAATATTGGTATATTGTAATGCTAACCACATTTTTGCCATATGTTTTTTTTATGTATAAAATGAGCTATTTTTTTAAAACAACATTAAATTCCATATCAAATAATTTTTCATAATTAAGTATTTTAACTTCAATTTTATCAATTGTTATCACCAGCTCGATATAATTTTCAAGCAGATAATAATGATTTTTTTTATGATAAGAATTATATACTTTTACAAGATATTTATTTAAATAAATTTAAAAGAATTTAAAACTGTAATAAGTGATGTAAAGTTACTTGCTGTTCCCAAACTAGAACTCTTCTGATCTAATTATTCCCTCTTTTATATTGCTCTATTGACATTATTTAAAGTCAAAGTAATTTAGGACAATTCAAATATCAATTGAAGGTATTGATTGTGAACTTGACTCTTTAATAATTAATTGAAACGACTAATAAGTTATTAATTAAAATAACTATAATAATACCACTTTAGATTTTACTGTGGTTGAATTGGAAGAAACTGACTGTTAATGGTACTGTTTTAAATTAATTGCAACAAATTGACAGTGATTCTAAAGTAGTTGAATTACAAAGTAAAGATAAGTAAATATTTAATGAAAACTCAGTACTTTGTATTCCAGGCTCATCAATACAGATAGACAAAGATAATAGTAGTACGAGTTTTAAATTATTGCTTATAAATATGTTTAATGTATATATATAATATATAGATACATTGTTGTCGATATGCAAACAATTTCTGACAATTAATACAATTTTATTTTTATATTTCAAATTTGTATGACTTTATAAGTATTTTATTTTTTCACATGGTCACTTTGCATATTGGCAACTATGTTGTGAATCATGATCTACAAATTGTGACCAAGTAAAAAAAAATAAAATAACCATGATGCATTTCAAAATAAAATTTTAATAATTTTTACTTGGACATATTTTACATAACGACAACTATATATACATTTATATTTTAATCATATACCTACTGCAAATAATGAATCTTCTTGGACATCACTTAATTCAGTAAATTTGTTAAGAAATAATACTAAAAACTCGAAATTGATCATTGATAATCCATCTAGTTTAAATTAATATGTGTCATCAACAACAAATCAAATTTTAAATGAAAACTTTTTTCAGCTCTTCATTGATAAATAAAAATAAATGTATACCTAACAATATAAATGCATGATTGTAAGACATTATTTAATAATATTTATGATGTAGAAATTAAAATGCCAAAAACAAAAAATTGACAAAAATCTGTCAGCCAGAAAATACAAGAACTTGCTGAAGATAAAAAAAACGTTTAGTGGTCGTTCAGGAAGAATTAGTCCAGCAGGAAATATCTCAATCTGCAGAGCTACATATGTTAAAAATGAAACATATAACTATTGAAGATGAACTGAACATTCCAAATCTTAAATTAAAAAATGATATATTATTGAAAAAATTAATGATTTAATATTAATAATTTAAATAATTTATAGTTAATAAATTATATTTTTATTAAAAATTAATATATAGATTAAAATATTAAAAAAATTTATTTCTATATATAATAAAGACTGAATAAAATATAATAATAAAAAAAAATAATAGTGCAAACGTTTTTTATTTTAATTTTACTTGTACATAATATGTTAAAATTGTTATTTTAATTTTCCTCAAATATATTATATTTAAATATTTAAAATATATTTTTACTGTTGTTTGTTATAGTTAGAACAAATAAACTGAACAAAAAAAGTACAATAATAATTTTATTTTATGTTATTTTTAATAATACCTATACATATACACATTTTTATTATTTTACAAATCATATATTTTCAGATTTTATAAGTGAAATAAATACTCATTTAATAATCTAATTCTAGCATTGTTTTGATTGTTTTGAATAATATGTGTGGCTTCTAAAATATCATCAGGTAGCTGAATTTCTAAGTTGTTGATTGGTATTGTATCATTTTTGATAATCGCAATATTATGCAGAACAGCACATGCAATTATTACTGTTTTTATCTTATGTATGTTCAGTCTCATTCCAAAAGATTAAACTGGAAAACGACGTTTCCAAACCCCATAGGTGCGCTCTACTGGATTTCTAGTTCTTATCTGAGATTCATTATATAAATTTTCTGTGTCTGAGGATTAAGAAATGGAGTAACAAAATGGTTTGTATTTGCATAACCGGAATCTGCTACAAATAAACTATTGCCCCATTTCTTTAAAATTTTTTTTCTTTTATTTTATAATGTGTAACTCATGGTAAATCTTTAAATTTGAAAATATCGTTGAATCATGAGATGATACAGGCCAACGAACTACAATGTCCATAATTTGTAGTCTTGATGATACTACTGTTTGCACATTAAATGAAAACCAACCTTTTCGATTTCGAAAGTACTCAGAATTACGATCACCTTGAAAAAGTTTTTTTTATAAAAATAATTTTGATTTTTTAAATTACTAATTTTTTGTTTAACTTACCAGGACTTTGAATTTTTATGTGCATACAGTCAATTGCTCCAATCACTAATGGAAATTTGGCTATACTATAAAAATCTTTTTGTAAGTTTCGAATCTCAGTTTCTAGCATTTTTATATATTTAGTTCTAAGTTTTGCTATGGCCAGACTTACATCTCTTACTATAAGACAGGAAAATGATTTAATAACACCAATTACATTTCTTGCACTTATTAAAGAGCTCCCAGTAACATAAAATCGCAATGTTTATAATAATTTCTGCATTGGTGTTATAGCATTATTCCTATTAAAATAAAGTGTTTTATTATAATTTAAGTTATATTCTATACATATGTCATTATTAAAAGTCTCTGGTATTCAGTTATATTAATTGCTGAATAATACTCACTTATCTGTATCAGTTTTACATGTTCTTAAAATTAAAGACTATTGGAGTATTGAAATAGGGTTCCCTCAAATATACAAATGTATGAGTCGTACAAGATTTGAAGCAATTCGTTCCTGTTTACACTTCAATGATAACTCTAAATTACTTCATCTTATTGATATTAATCATGACAGCCTTCACAAATTAAGATCATTAATTGATTATTTGACAAATAAATTTAAAAGTGTACCATATAGCCAAGATATCAAGCGGAGTTTTAAATACGACGCTTTATCCGGAATGGTACAAAATATTTTGTATTTTTGTTATATATTTATAGTCTATTAAAATTTTATTTTCAAATTTTTAAAAATTTAGTATTAATTTTATTTGAAATATTATTCTCAAAAAAATAGTCTTTATAATTTGTTTATTGTTAGATATACAATCATATTCATATATGTTATAGTGGGTTGCATGTAGTTTTGCCATAGTATATTGTAGTATATTATATACTATAATATGCATCAATGTTGATATTTTATTTTTGAAATATTACAATTTACAGATATTTATAAATTTATAAATATTCGACAAGGTGCATATAAATGTAATAATCATAATAAACAATTTAATGAAAGGTCGTCGTCACTAGTTATAGGAAATAATAAAGGTTGTTATATTTG